AAATCAGTGTGAAAATGAAATAATTCTAAGAACTTTAATTACAACAGTATATATCTATGCTATGATTATTGTCACCCCTTAAGAGGTGTGCATGTTAATTATAATTATGAGTGTGTTATCAGTTGAGTGCCATTTTTTTACCCAGATTAATCTTTAATTGTGATAATTCGTGCTCATTATTACATAATATCTCTATAGTGTGTGCAAAAATATATTTTGTCAACAGACCGATTTCATTAACATTTTTATTTACCAGACACAATTTTAATTCATACACACTGATATTTATTTTACAGTTGTTGCTTTACTGTTTACTTCTCAAGAGAGTGAGTGAGTTGGGTTTAACGCCGCTTTTTCCAGTATTCCAGTTTTATCGCGGCGTGTCAGCTTAATGTGGGAGAAAAGCCCGAAGTGATGCAGGTCTCAGACGTTTACCACTTCGGTGAAACCCACGAGCGCGGGTATGGTGCTGACAAACCTAGAAACATAATCGGGAGCGAACCGGGATTCGAACCCACAATCATAGAAGGCAGGGCGGGACAACTTAGGAATGGCCAGGAGTCCGAACTTGACCACACAGAAGGAAGCGAGCTACAAAAACATGTTTTATATCATTGGAAAGCTCTCGAGGAGTCGAATCCAAATAATGTGTGTCCCAGTGTGTTCACATGTTCATAAGCTCAAAAATTGGCTCAGAAAATGCATTACTGCAGAAATTTCTGGCCGAATTTTTTTTTTCTGCAGAAATTTCTGGCAGTATTTTTTTTTTCTACAGAAATTTCTGGCCGAATTTTTTTTTCTACAGAAATTTCTGGCCGAATTTTTTTCTGCAGTAATATTTAGCAGAATTATTTTAATTCAGGAGAAATAAGATTCAATCATTGGATAGTTTGAATTGAATTCAGCAATTGAAGATATTTATCTTGGTATTATATTTACCAAATTTATCAAGAAAAGTTGACGTCACTCGAATTAAACAATGGAACAACATGTTGGCCTCATACCTTTGTATACTAGACAGATGCAAATCATTGAACCTTGAGCTTACCCTATAATTATCTAAATTATTATGAGAATTTCAGTGACCATCTTCAATGGCCTTTTGACGACTTTGAAGTGTACAACATTAAAGGTGAATGTGATTCTCAAAAAATAAATTTCATAATTATTCCATGGGGCCAACCAAATATATAATCCCCAGTTGGAATTCAAAGAAACAACCTACATGTGATATACGGTACTCTGAAAGTAGGTTAACTTCAGACATCGAAAAAAATAGAACACAACCAAGATTTTACAATGTAACTGCATATATTGTTTCATAAATTTCATTGTGCACATCTCATCTTATATATGTATATATATATACAATTCTAAATACACAGCTTTACTAAGAAACAAAAACATACAAAGTACAAAACTCCTGCAATGCAATCCTCGGCTATATCTCAGCCACATAGCTTAGACAAAAAATATGTTCATTTCAGCAAAACTTGCTGCTCCTTCTTTATTGTTCTGATACTGACGCTTGTCTTCGGTGCTTTGTCAGAGTGAAAGTAAAGAAAAAAAATGTAAAGAATATGAGAACATAATTAAAATCACAGTGCATCTATACAATAAAAGCAAAAATAGTAACCTCATGAAGTTGGGTTGTTTCTCTGCCCACATTACACATATTCTAAGTAACGCTGACTAACCCTAATATTACACATCACAATACATATTTCAAAAGAAATGCAATATTTATTGAAATCACCTTTGATTGTTTTTGCAGTTTTTCATTGTTCTTCTCTATTGCCTCTTGAACTTTAGTTGGGAGGGTTGTCGCTTCCCTTGGGGCAGGCATGAAGGGCTTGAAGTCTGATAGCTTGGTGGTGGGTGTCCGGATGTCCCCAATCTTGAAGGAGGGCATCGCGGGTTGTTGCAGGCTTCTGTCTAAGTTCCCTTGCACTAAACACTAAACAGTTGATCCAAATCTTCATGCGTGTGCCCCACCATGAGAAAGAAATTTTCACCTGAAAATAGTATTTACATCAGTATTATCACTATGAAAACAAATCAAATTGTACAAAACTTGTTTATTTTTACAGAATATTGATTTGAATATTGAGAGAAAAATCAATCTTGTGCATTTAAAAAGTTTCAACATTGTGTGCAGATTCTTTTATACTTAGGATGAGCAACTGGACATGAAATACTTGCTTCAAAACAATTCTAATGTGGTTTAAAACAATTTACATAAATTATAAAAATATTAACCACATGTGACTTCAGCATTTACTTTGAATTGTATAGTATAGCCTCAAGGAATAAATATGCTATACATGATATTGTATGTGGAGTCATATACCAATACTTCATTGATAACTATCTTCATGATAGCACTAAAAGTGATACCTTGGATTGCAGCGTCCACTTTTGACTGGCCGACAAAGTCTTGCAGCTTTACTGGTCCTGGAAATGTCAAATAAATATTTGAACAATACATAAATTGCAACTTTAATGTAATTGGATAGTCATACAAATATAACAATTGCCAATTTCCATTCTCAAAAATCCATAATTCCTCCAAAATTAGACAAGCCTACCAGACAGACATTGAATTTATTCAACAGGCCCGTACCAAGCATTTAGCTAAGACAAAGATAAATTTCTATCCTTCTAAACGTGTGTTACAAATATAATGTACAAACAAATGTCTTGACATACATGGCACGATCCCATTACAAAACAAATCCCATTACATCCTTTACTAATAATATTGGACAAACTACAATAACGTAACCCATATATGTGCACTGTGGATACTAAGCTCCACTGGTTTCTAAATAAGAATCTACATAACTCCCTACCAATAGGATATGTAGACAGTAATATATGTTTTGGTTTGGTTTGTTGTTTACTGCCGCATTCAGCAATATTCCACCTATATGACAGCGGTCTGTAATTAATCGAATCTGGACCAGACATTTCAGAGATTCATATCATGAGCATCAATGCAGGTCAGCGAGCCTGACCACGCAATACTGTTAGTCGCCTCTTAAGACAAGCATAGAATTCACTGGAAACTGGAAAGGAAATATCACAAAAAGACATGTTGTGCTTGGATACCAATTACACAATAATGACCCATTAAATCGGGAATAGTGCACTTTACCGAGCGCACTTTTTCAGATCCAATTAGAGCTGTTGGGGCTCGAACGCGCTTCGCCGACTCACCGGCTCTGCTAATTAATGCGTTAATTAGCCGACGATCTACCACTGGACCACAGGCGCACATGTAATCAGTGCTCGTTTAACAGGTCATTAGAATCACCATTGACATGCATGTGTAATTGAGTAAACAATGAATTGCGCATGCGTGTGACGTCACGGCCCGCTTTCCCATTCATCTTTTCTTGAAACCACACCCGCAATTGTTTATGTCAACAACCAATGAGATTAACTGAATTAACGCTTGAAAAAGTAAAAATTTATGGCTAACCCTTGCCCAAAGCCAGCTAACCCTAATGACCGAAAAACGGGTGTTGGATCGTAAAGACGTGTAAGTTTCCCTAAGACCTAGAACGGGTGTTTGATCGTAAAGATGTCTAAGTTTCCCTAAGACCGAGAACGGGTGTTTGATTGTAAAGATGTGTAAGTTTCCCTAAGACCGAAAACGGGTGTTGGATCGTTAAGCGAGAGTCACCAGAGCGTGAGGCACGGTAACGGTATAACGAGACAGCGTGGCACTATAGCGCGGTAATTGAGCGGATGGTAGAGCTCGGGCTGCGCCCGGTAAACTGCATTGTTGCCCAGAAATTCGAGAAGAAAATTCGCGAAATTCGATATCGACATGTCCTCTCAAAACGAAGAAAGGGTTCTATCACTAGGTCCACGCGAGAGTATGTCTCGTAAACTTGCCTAGCCCTACGCCTACTGTTAGCATCACCGAGTAGACCGAGCCACCCACCAACTCGCACCCTAATTAAGTCATGGCCCTGTGGGCAACGAGGGCAACACTTACCTGGTATACTACGTACGTAACACCAATATAATGCCACGCGAAGCCATATATATATAAAGGCTACACAATCCGCGTATGTTCGCAGAGCCCTGGCTCTTCCGCTCTTCCTTTCCTAGCTCATGTTGACATTTTGATAAAAAAAAACATGCACCGTGCTTTGATTCCGAAACGAAATTTAAATTGGCAACACAGTCGGTGGTGGTAAAAAAACCCAGCGCAACGAAGCCGATGGAGTACCTCACCCCTACATTTGCCGTACCAGTTTATTTTCGCGTTCGTAGCTCAACTCTACCTAATAGTGCCGATGCAATAAATGAACTATAGTTAACGACATTGCACATAAGCATTACTTACCAATTTCAGTGTTTTTCCTTTTGGGCAGATTTCTTGAAGAAAGATGTCTGCCTTGACTGTTGATGACGTTGGTAAGATCTGTAATAGGGTAGCAACATGTTCAGTGAATATGTTCATAAAGAAACCATGATCCAAACAGAAGGCAAAGGTTCTTCAAGATATATACAGTGTTTGGTGTACAAAAATAGAATAAAATGCCTTACCCATGTCAACGTTGTTGAAGCAGAGCTGGTGAACCCTCCTCAAGGCATCCAGAGCTTCTCACTGCGACCAGAACTTTCGATGTGATTTACCGACTTGTTGATTAGTTATCGTTTGATCGTCTGACAGAACGTTCTCGACGATTTAACGATATTTAACGATACCTGATTAGGGTTAAATCTATATATACCATTTTTATGGTCGGGCGTCCACGGCTGATTGGTATATCAAATCAAACACAAGGGTGTATATCATGCCCCTGAGTGTTCACGCCTCACTGGGTGGTCACGTAATAAGGTGTGGCACCAGCATCTCGGGTTACAATTTGATATTAATTCAAGTACTCCACTGATAATGTACATAGGTAGTTAACTTAATTACATTCAGTTTTGTCCGACAAGGAGCGAGTTTACTTTTTTTTAGACACAGACCTTGTAACAGGCTCTTCCCCTGGAAACACATATATTGTAAATAAATATTTTGCCGTTTCCATCAACTTTATCACGTGATGTTCTATAACTGTTGTCTTGTACACTATCCATAGTGTAAGTCAGCTGGCTCGAGGAATTTTCATATAGTATTATCATTAAACAACATACCCTATGCAACAGTTATGTTGCTACCCAGACAAAACTATTTTTATATTCTATGTTAAATGTAAACGATCAGTTTTTATTATAAATACAAAACCACCTTTTAAGCGGTAATACCTATCACGCATTAAACAACATATATGAACAACCATGTGATTATAAAGTCTCACGTTGGTTCCTCCGTGCAACTTCATGCCTGACTTACATTCATATTGTTCTTTCACCACACTTACGCTTCTCCAAATTTAGAAAGAAGCTGTGTACACAGTGTTCTTGCGAGTTACAATAACGCGTCCGGTTTGGCGGCAACTTCAAAGAGTGGACATATGGTTGCTCCTTCAGGTAGCTATAATTACCCTCTCTATAATGCAATATCGTATTATCCATTTGTAATGAATGATAGTAACACTAAATCGGATTGGATTCAGTTAAATCTACATTTCTCAAGGTCTCTAACATCGAGATTTGAAATATCTTTCATGTAAATACCTTCTTTGTCATGTGACTTGTATATATTCGTGTATATTCAGAATCGTACCTACGCACAATGTCTTTGAACAATGGCACAAGCAACGTGGTCTCTTTCTGTAAAACATAGCACTCTTTATTTCAGCCACAGCAAAGATCCCGAACCACGTGCAGTCAGCAGAGTTACAGCGTCTGGTTACCGTCTTGCAGTTACGATACAGGTAAGACGTCAAAATATTTGTTGTTTTCTTTCTGGAAACGCCGACCCTAGAACGTGGAATTTTGGTAACACGGTTTTTTCATATAACAACAACCAAATAACAACCTGTACTCCGAACAGTGAATGCGTGGCTCTGCTGCCATGCGAAACGCGTTTTGTAAGAGTCTAATTTTAGTGTATTTATTTCTACCACTTTGATAAAAATACGCAAACAATCTAATCTGAAAAGGAGATATCTCCATCCCCTATGGTGTTATTGCGACTTGTATACTGTCTACATGTACATTAGGCAACTTATTGTAGCTGTATGGCGACACTTGTAGTGTATCTATGTGACCATGAATTTGCCTGTGGTGATCAGTGAAAGTGAAAACACGGAAAATTACAAAATACCAATCCATGCAGTATTTTGATAATTTACATGCGAGTTTTCTATTATTTATAACGTTAGAAATATTTAGATAAAAATAACTTTATAGACCCTATGTTTATTAATATAACAAATTGTTGTATTAATGTTTTCCTAAAATAAACATATGTATCATCTTTTCTTATTGCCCCATCAAAGCTGGTGCTGAGACAATATAGAATACCCAAACGACGCATATTGTACGTGCCGTGCCGCCAGACTTCCTGCCAACTTGGCAATTAAATATCCTCGGGTATTGTCACTTCATACGGTGATACATTGTCTCGCGCACGTGGTCCGTGGGTTTTGTCTATCAGCGCCACGATCACGTGATCGTTTTGTTAATTACTCTGTGTTACGGTCTCGCCGATCCTAAACTTTCAAAGCCTTCAATAAAATTTATGAGATCATTATCTTATCTTTATTCCGACTGAATCCACCTTTATTTCAGACGCCCCCTCACACACACACTCCCAATGCAAATTCACTGAGGCTTGACCGTTACCAATTAACAGCTGTCAATTAAAAAGTTCGCATCTAAGTAGTATGTTATCGAATATATTGAAAACCTTTAGCGTGCTACTTTAAGGGGGGGGGGGGGGGTTAAAGGAGGGTGTTGGTTGTTCACAGGGTTACTCGACAATCACAATGTATACCGGTATTTCAATAATTGTATGATATATTTAGTCCTTGGGCAGCCCCAATCTAAAAAACAACAATAAAATCCTAACTCTCACCGACTCGCTTAGTGGACTAAAAGCCCTCCAAAACAAAAATACCAAAAAACGACCTAAATTAATAAACCAAATACTTAAAAGCTCCGACGACCTAACAAAAGCAGGCAAACAAATAACCTTCTTGTGGATCCCCGCCCACGTAGGAATTTACGGCAACGAAAGCGCCGATAAAGCAGCTAAATTATCTCTCAAAATACCAGTAATAAGCCTAAACCTACCCATCTCAAAATCAGAAATTAAAAGTGTAAACAAACAAAAAATAACCATAAAATGGCATAATCAATATCAAAACTCAAATAGCCAAATCAAAAAAGTGCTCAGAAAACCACTAGCCAAAACCTAAAATCCTACACCTCTCTAAAAAAATTGACAGATTTATTACAAAACTCCAAACAGGACACACGAACCTAAATAACGACCTAAAAAAACTTAAAAGACACATCACAGGCAACTGCCCCGACTGCAAACAACCCGAAACCACAGAACACGCACTCATCCACTGCACCCACTACCAAACACACAGAACCACACTACAAACCACCCTCAATCTAAATAAGGTTCCTACTCTAGATGAAATACTAAACCCTCAAAATATACCAGAAAACTTCAAGGCCCTAGACGTATTCCTAATCAAAACAGACCTAATTAAGCGCATCTAAAAACCAATTTTTCCACCAATCCAAAATCCAATAAACATACAAACACCCACCTCACCCGGCTCCCTTAGTTCCCTCCTCCACCCACCTCGGCATTTATCCCAAATTTAAAAATTCCACAACTTCAATATAAGCAACCCCTAAAACCCCCCTCTTGGGTTGCACACATCACTTTCACCCTTTTCGGAATACAATAAATGGTCCGGCCAGTCCCGTGTGCGAAATACGCTACAGTCGGAAAGCGCACGTTAAATCTCCTATATCAGTCAGTCAGACCCCAGTGTTTCATATCATTTTCCCACCAAACTAAAAAAGAATAACCCCCAACTGGATATGTTTCGTTTCGTCTGTCGATTCATATTTTGGAAAATCAAGGGGAACCACTCCGGCTTATGCAGCACACACATTTGGGAAGGTTGCTTCAATAATAATAATACTTCTTACCATGGTTTCACAGTCGTTCGGAACTTTTTTAAGATCTTTTTTAATCGATAACAGATTATGCTGTCCGAAAAGACAGGCCTATCGGAAATTCGAACTTGAACAGCAACGCCAAAACCACATTCCGCCGCAGTGACCAGCTGCTGATGACATAGACTAGGCTAGCTTTACACTAAGTCTTGTACCAGGCTGGCCTTCTGGGTAGTAGGTCTGGTCTCTCCTTTGTCCTTGGACCCCCTTTCCGATCATAAGGGTTGAGTACCCCTTGCCAATGAAACACGTGTTTACCATCCTTTTACCTTAGAGCACCCATTTACGACACATGGGGTTAGTTTTGAGTTCGGTTATGGTTTAGAAGTCTCTTGATATAAACATATTTATTTCCATAAAGTGGAGGGATTGGCAAACAAGCAAATGTTGCTTATCTGAATGCCTCTCCCAAACATGATACATAAGTCTCTTTTAACGAATTAATCCAATGTAATTTTCGCAGTATACTCATCCTTATATAATTTCAGCTTCATGACAGTGTGAACATTGAGTGCCCCCTACACAAGTATGCAGTCACTGACAACTTATGGAGTGACCTATACAAAACGGAAGATGCAGACGACTAGCACAAGCACGCACGCACACACACACTCACACGCACGCACGCACATGCTATATAAGTGCAATTATCTTGGACGCGACATTCAACCCAATTTCAACTCACCTCACTTATCTTACTTTGTTCATGTGCCTAAAGCTTGTGGAATGTGTTAATTACTGAAATGAAAAGCATTTTAATGTTTTTTTCATATCTTTTCAGAATATGTGCACAAAGCTTTCAATGACCAGACGAAAAAAAGAATTCATTTCAAGTATGTTGAGAAGAAAACGTAAGTAAAGCACACTATTTACATTCATAATACATTTTATTCCGCAGGCTCTATTGTAAAGTTAAACTCTAGCTGCGTATAGGCTGCCATTATCCATTATATTAGACAATATGGATCCACTCATCTATACATCTATTTTCTTTTGTGACAGGACCCATCTCTGAAAAAATCACCTCACCCAAGAAAATACGACTCATTCATGAGAATGAAAAGTGCAAAGTCTCCCAAGAAATTGTCTTGTAATATAGCATGTGAATAAATAATTTTTTGAATATCTCACGAAATTAGTTTTATTTTATTGCTTGTAATCATGTGAACTAAAAATGTTTGTTTTGAGGAAAAAGGTCATTTGAAGCAACTCCAGGTTAAACTATCCAATGATTGAATCTTATTTCTCCTGAATTAAAATAATTCTGCTAAATATTACTGCAGAAAAAAATTCGGCCAGAAATTTCTGTAGAAAAAAAAAAATTCGGCCAGAAATTTCTGTAGAAAAAAAAAATACTGCCAGAAATTTCTGCAGAAAAAAAATTCGGCCAGAAATTTCTGCAGTAATGCATTTTCTGAGCCAATTTTTGAGCTTATGAACATGTGAACACACTGGGACACACATTATTTGGATTCGTCTCCTCGAGAGCTTTCCAATGATATAAAACATGTTTTTGTAGCTCGCTTCCTTCTGTGTGGTCAAGTTCGGACTCCTGGCCATTCCTAAGTTGTCCCGCCCTGCCTTATAGGTTTCTGGCGTGCCTGGGCCGCCTGTGCCCCCTTACCTCTCAAGGTCATTGAATGTAGTATTAATGTAGTTTTTATTACCACTGCCCGACCGCCTCTGCGGTCTGGTGAATAGAGCGTCTGTCCGGAGAGCGAAAGGTCGGTGGTTCGATCCCCGGCCGCGTCTTACCAAAAGAGGTTAAAAGATAGTACGTGTTGTTACCCTGTCTGGCGCTTGGCATTAAGGGGCTGGTCGTCTCGGAGTCAGTATACTGTGGCAGTGTTAAACTGCGGCATGGTATTTTAGTTGGATGGCACTATAAAATCGGCATGCATATATATAAGTGCATTAATACTGAACGCGACGTTAAAGACCATTTCACATCTCCCAACCTCACCTACATCGTAACAATGTGTTTAGATTCTAAACACAAACGTTAACACGTTCCTTGTCCCATAAGTTTGACATGTTTAGGTCTTAACATGCTGAGGATTGTGTTTAACAGCTAAACGTGTTTAGGGTCCAAATGTGTATACGCCCTTTGAAATTCATTGAAGGTAATTCTAAAAGAAGAGTGCTTTTTATATTGTTATTAGCGTTAAATTGGGATATAGAAATGAGTGCGCGTGGCGTGCGTGCGTGTGTGCGTGCGTGTGGGGTAAGATACAAGCTATTTTAGCAGTATAAATTGATTAATTTGGAGGTGGGTGGGTGGTGGGAACTAAAATGTTAAGGGTCTATCACAGTAATCAGATATACTTTCATTGTCAGATTCCTGTGTGAGAGAAATACTATAAGACATACAGAAACAACAAATTTGTTATTATGAACACAAAGATTTTTAAACCTCGGCAGGATACGAACCTGCAACCTCTTGATTTGTAGTCCTTCACGCCACCATATTACACATCTTATCCATGTTTTCCTCATTGCCTAATAGTATATATAATAGCATAAAGACAAGACACCATCTTGTTAGAGGCCACAGGCCCATAGAACATAACATTACAGGAATACAACTACTGATAAAGTGACTTATACAATTGTATTGCAATCAATATGAATTTCGATGGCTGTGCAATAGTAGGTTTGTGATCAGATGACATCAGACGAACAAAGGATTTACGAATTTACAAAGTATTTAGGATCAATGTATCGATATCTTAAATCATTAAAACCAGGGCATACAAATGCAAAATGATATTCATTTTCCACTCGACTAATATTTAATCGAAGACAATATCTACACAAGCGACATTTTGGATCGATGCCTTTGCGTCTGCCCGTGTTGCTTAAACTTAATGGTATAAATGTGTATACAGTTAATGATTTATAACCATTCCTAATCATGTTTGGATCTAAAAATGTCTTGTCTGTGGGTACATTCTAAACTTATTTTTACAGTGTATAGCGTCAGCTGTCTGTAGAGATGAAGGGCATAGTAAGCTGGTCAGTGGGTGCCCAATTCATTAGACCTTTTAATAGAGGATTCATCACGAGTGTTTTTTAATATGGGAAATATCAACCGAGTCTTAGTTAATCGGTATTTGCCGAGCCTTTGGCGAGGCGAATACCGATTAACGGGACGAGGTTGATATTTCCCATATTAAAAAACACGAGTGATGAATTCTATTTATCATTTTCACATTTTTGCTTCCAAATTAAGGAATAATTGCATTAAACATTAACATCAGCAACTTGTCGAAATCTTACGTATAGATCGTGCGTAGTGATACATGTTTTCCATAGCCATGTAAACCAAAATAAACAATTCGCTGAGAAAAAAAGTTCCTCGGATTATTTTAAACAAAATACTTGAACAGACTTTTGCAGAATAATTGAAACTTTAATAACGGTAACAACAACGATTCTGTGTCATCTGATTATATCTCTGGTGTAACTTCACTTATAATATATAGTTTCAAATCAAACCGCTCGCTCTTCCGGTTATCTAATTTGCATATCTAATTTGCATACTTATGTCATTGGGGTATGACATACATGTTTTTATGTCATGAGCTTATGTCATGGATAAATGCCTAAGTTAAATGATAAATGGCAATACGACATGTTCATCACAAAGTTTGGAACCATGCTTTAGCATCATGGCACAATGAGTGAGTGAGTGAGTTGGGTTTAACGCCGCTTTTAACAGTATTCAAGTTATATCGCGGCCACCCGTGCCCCCAATGGCACAACGAAGGCAACATGTATCAATGTCGCTTGAATTCGATAGCTAGGAATACCGGTTTCATTGCTATAACAAAATATTCCTAAATTACTCTGTATAGATATCACACCTCCTGATAATATTACCTCGGTAATTTGTCTGGTAACCAGATAGACTGCTCATGCTTGCATCGGAAAGACACTTTCGTCAGCTCCCGAGTCGAGTGTGAGAACGCGACAACATGCACCGATGGAGGAAAACTGACTAAATCCATACAAAATCTTCCATTGGGGATAAGTTGGATAAAAAGCTTTGAATTATACATAAATTATGTGATGACGGGAGGAGATAGAAGCAAACAGAACAAAATTCTCGCGTAGCTCTCGAGGTCAGCTATCGAGGTATAACAAGTGTGATGTTTTACATACATATATAACCTTCATAATATATTATACATTCATATACCGCACCTACTCAGCTACTAGTATTTGCTCAAATGTGGTTTATTTGTTTCCTGACCATTGGATCCGTATGCATTCCAGTTATCGTTCTCAACTCCCTGGGAAGTATACAACCCAAGCTGCCTACGGGCGCTAGGGTGTTTTAACATCAATCCACATATCGGGTACCCATTCCTTGCTGGGTGAACAGAGGCACATTTGAACTGTCATCTGCACAGGGTGACACCACACGTCTTGACACTTGTTAAGACACGTGTTTCGGGTGAATGAACGTATTCGTCTATCCACCATCTGGACATCAACCATCGGGTTCTTCTGAGTGCACAGGATACACTGTGAATAAACGGTACACAAGGCGTAGTGACAACACTGTAGGGACCAATTGAGAGCCTAATGGAACGACTTTTCTTAACCGTATGTATTTATTTTACATGACCCATTTTCCCTCACAACGCCAGTCGCCCCACGAATGAATGACTGTCCAAATTAAGGCATGCCCTGCACCCTCGCCAACACCACTACAACCCCCACCCCACCCTCTTCCTCCCACCCCCTCCCCCATCTCAAGTTGATTCGCGTATGTTGTCAAAAGAAATCTCATGTGGGCGTGTATCTTTTTTTAAATGGGACTGCTCAGCTGCTCAGTGCTGGTCATCTGGCAACGCATTGGTAACTGCCTTGACACCAGTGTTTATTTGGGGTCTTTCGAATGCATGCGGCCCCAATAGGTTGATGCAATGTAAAGGCAACTATGGAAACGCAAAACAAATAGGATGGCACTTCTGTATAAAGATCCAGCGGTTCCCGACACACGATCATTCTGCTCTGACACAGATCCAGAACCGATTCAACCACCAGCCACAATGACCATGAAGTGTGTTCTTGTTGCTGTTTGCGCACTGGGTAAGTTAATGTCTTCATCATTCTACCTGTATACAGTGTATCATAGCTGCCTGTTCGCTAGCCAAATGACAGTGACATTTAAGATTAGACTGGTAACATTTTCGTAAAGCTGCCCGACTGTCGAGATGAAATCATAGCCAATACATATTTCTTTCAGTCTCAAGTCAATTCAGGCGGTTTTCATTTCAAAGTTTGTTGTCATTTTGTTTTCATTTCATAGTTTATCCGAAGTGTTTTGAGCTTGTTAAATATTATAAAGACTTGCAACATTTCTTGTCATCAAACCCTCCTTGCTAGTGAACATTGAAAACTAATTCAAAAACTGCTTGTATGTGTGTGAGTCTTTAATTCCCTTGGTGTTTACGTAGGAAAACGTTAAATTTGTAGCAGATCTTAGTTATAATACCTGTTTCAGGTTGATAGAGTTTAGATCTTGTTATCTGTTCTCGACATATTCTTTTCGATCTAAAAAAACACTTCCTGCAGAGCTAATGTCGGACTCGGTACACTCTTAAAATACAATATTGTCAGTTGTCGACCGGTCTCGAAGAATATATAAATTTAATGTAATGTAGTAGGGATGGGACGGGTAACGCGGGCACCCTGTCGGATGGGTCCTGCGTAGGACACGGGTACCCTCATGCCTTCCCGGACCCGTGGTTAGTAACTTAGTGTTTTTGCCAGGGCTCCGGTAAAACAAATTCCAATCAGACAATTTGTACCCAACTCTTGAGGCCTACAAGAGGTATCCGGGTAGGGTCGGGTGATATGGTGTCGGGTACCGGGTAGTAAATCATTGTATGTACACCGAGCCCGTATGCATTGGTAAAAACTTCGGCATTTTCTAGAGGGTATTTTGGGGGAAATGTTCAGTTTTGAAACAGTCAAAAACCAGTATCTCTATGCAAGGGATGATGGAATAGCGTAACGAGTAGTTAATGTTATATAACCCCCAAATTATGTATCGTCTTTAGACATATTCCATATTTCTCTATGTTAAGCATCTTCACGATTTGGGTCATCATAGACCGCCTCCGTGGTCTAGTGGTAGAGAGTCCGCCCGGAGACCGGAAGGTCCGGGGTTCGATCCCCGGCCGCGTCATACCAAAAGACGTTAAAAGATGGTACTTGTTGTTACCCTGTCTGGTGCTCGGCATTAAGGGGCTAAAACAAGGACTGGTCGGCTCGGAGTCAGTATACTGTGTCTGAGTGGGGAATTCATGTTAAACTGCGGCATGGTATCTCAGTGTGCTAGCACTATAAATCGGCATCAGTCCGGACTGGTACAAGCAGCCACACAAACACACACACGTACATGCACGTCGCTATATAAGTGCAATAACCTTGGACGCGACGTTAAACCCCATTTCATCCCACCTTTGGTCATCATATTACATTTAAAAGGCTGCACAACAGATCGGGAATAAAATGACATTCCTGTAAACAAAGCTAGGCACAACCCTGATGGGTCCTGTTCCATATAATAGATCTTCCTTTTGATATAACTGTAGCAAATAGCTGATTCACGGACTTTTTTAGGCCAGGGTGTCGTTATGCAAAACAATCTTAGCGCTACCACTGTCGTAAGTCTATGTTTAGGTAAGGGAGTTACGATCACCTTAGCGCTAAGATCGCCTTGTACAACGGCACCCTGGTCATAAGTAAGGTACATATATGTTTGTGTACATGGAATACATAACGTGACAGGTTATATCGACGGGTTTGCAATAATCACATAGGCTGCACTAATTTCCATGGTGACTTGCAATGACATCGATTTATTTTTTATCATTTATGAGGGCATTTGTCATAGATATCGGTTGTCTGAGAGACATTTTCGAAATGATCTAATGTTTGTGGTTTTTAATATTTTGCAGCTGTGCTTGTCTCCAACTGCGATGCTGCTTGTTCCGCTACTCCTACCTGTACTGCTGCTACCGACTGCGCGTAAGTTGGCAATATTTTTTTACATGATTTGAATCAACGGTTGTCGGAATCGTCTCCTTCCCCAATACCTGTTTTTATGTGTAATCTTATTGGACAAAATTTCTGGTGTCACCATCAAAGAAGGGGCGCAGTCGTCTAAGGCACCGGGATTTGCTGGTCAGAGTTGCGGCCCCTTGGCACGCCAGACACATATGAGCATGAGTTCCAATCCCGGTTCGCTTCAATTATATATGTTTCTAGGTTTGTAAGTACCCGTGATCACCAAAGTGGTAAACGTCTGAGACTTTTATCCCACATTAAGCTGACACGCTGTGATTTAACTGAAGAATTGTTAAAAGTGGCGTTAAACCCAACTCACTCACTCACTCACTCACTCAGAGCGATTGGGAACAATAAAGTAATGAATTGTTGGTGCTACCGGTGGGGCAGGGCATGTTTCCCCAACACATGGTGTCATCACAGATTTCCAGGGATCCATTCATATCATTTTCACCGCTATTTTTCACTTTTACGAAGAGTGGAATCTGTTTTGGCAGATAACCGAGGCCAACTGCTCTCTGGCATTGATGTTTATATCTACGATAAGTCGCCGTCGTAATTCTATGTAAAGGTTTTAGGGAACTGGACTACGAGTATTTGTCTGCGCATGGTTTATGGTGATGATCATCACAGCGTAAATGTTGTACTAATTATGCATTGTGAGTAACAAAGGCAAAACATCATTAATGTGGCATGGAAGTATATGGCATCATCTCGTTTATTGTGTAACAGACAATTTAAGAAGTAATCGCTATTGTTCTTCCAGGACGGCTCTCACCTACAAGACATGTATTATAACTGAGTACAACAAGTGCGCAACGGACGGCACAGAAGATGCAGCTAGACTTACTCTCTATGGCGTTTACGAACCCGCCTCTGTCATCTACAGCGCTGTGTGTGGTACGTATATTAACTATCAAAATTGAAGATTGCACACCGAACCACAATCGCCTCCGTCATCTTACGCCTGTTCATATTCAACTTTATATCTCCTCGTTCACGTCTCTAACTGATCCTGTTGACCCCTCCATCTGTTCATAGTCACCCTTCTATCTGTTCATAGTCACCCTTCTGTCCTTTCATAGTCACCCTTCTATCTGGTCATAGTCACCCTTCTATCTGTTCATAGTCACCCTTCTATCTGTTCATAGTCACCCTTATATCTGTTCATAGTCATCTTTCTATCTGGTCATAGTCATCCTTCTATCTGTTCATAGTCACCCTTCTTTCCTTTCATAGTCATCCCTCTATCTGTTCATAGTCATCCCTCTATCTGTTCATAGTCATCCCTCTATCTGTTCATAGTCACCCTTCTGTCCTTTCATAGTCATCCTTCTATCCGGTCATAGTCACCCTTTTGTCCTTTCATAGTCACCCTTCTATCTGTTCATAGTCACCCTTCTGTCCTTTCGTAGTCATCCTTCTATCTAGTAATGGCCACCCTTCTGTCCTTTCATAGCCACCCTTCTGTCCTTTCATAGTAACCCTTCTATCTGGTCATAGTCACCCTTCTGTCCTTTCATAGCCACCCTTCTGTCCTTTTATAGTCACCCTTCTATCTGTTCATATTCACCCTTCTGTCCTTTCATATTCACCCTTCTGTCCTTTCATAGTCACCCTTCTATCTGGTGATAGTCACCCTTCTGTCTGTTCATAGTCACCCTTCTATCTGTTCATAGTCACCCTTCTGTCCTTTCATAGTCACCCTTCAATCTGTTCATATTCACCCTTCTGTCCTTTCATAGTCATCCTTCTGTCTGGTGATAGTCACCCTTCTATCTTTTCATATTCACCCTTCTGTCCTTTCATAGTCACCCTTCTATCTGGTGATAGTCACCCTTCTGTCCTTTCATAGTCACCCTTCTATCTGGTCATAGTCATCCTTCTGTCCTTCATAGTCACCCTTCTATCTGGTCATAGTCACCCTTCTGTCCTTTCATAGCCACCCTTCTGTTCTTTCATAGTCATCCTTCTATCCTTCCATAGTCACCCTTCTATCTGGTGATAGTCACCCTTCTGTCTGTTCATAGTCACCCTACTATCTGTTCATAGTCACCCTTCTGTCCTTCATAGTCACCCTTCTATCTGGTCATAGCCACCTTTCTGTCCTTTCATAGCCACCCTTCTGTCCTTTCATAGTCACCCTTCTATTGGGTGATAGTCACCCTTCTGTCTGTTCATAGTCACCCTTCTATCTGTTCATAGTCACCCTTCTGTCCTTCATAGTCACCCTTCTATTTGTTCATAGTCACCCTTCTATCTGTTCATAGTCACCCTTCTGTCCTTCATAGTCACCCTTCTATCTGTTCATATTCACCCTTCTGTCCTTTCATAGTCACCCTTCTATCTGGTCATAGCCACCCTTCTGTCCTTTCATAGCCACCCTTCTGTCCTTTCATAGTCACCCTTCTATTGGGTGATAGTCACCCTTCTGTCTGTACATAGTCACCCTTCTATCTGTTCATAGTCACCCTTCTGTCCTTCATAGTCACCCTTTTATCTGTTCATATTCACCCTTCTATCTGTTCATAGTCACCCTTCTATCTGTTCATAATCACCCTTCTATCTGTATCTAATTGCACACCGAACCCTCATCATATCAAACCTGTGTTATGTGGAAGATAACTTCAGAATAAAGCATGCTCATATTTAACTCATATATATCTCCTTATTCACGTCACCGTGTTAATATTATTTCAAATAACTTGCTGTTTATTTCCAGGTGCTGAGGCTATTGCTTTCTCAGTGGTGACTGGAGTCATCGCGGTCATCGCCTCCTTCATGTTTTCTAAGTGAACCACCTCCCCCTGCTTCCCCTCCTCCACTGACAACGTCCTCCCCTCCTCCACCGACAACGTCCTCCCCTCCTCCACCGACAACGTCCTCCCCTCCTCCACCGACAACGTCCTCCCTTCCTCCACCAACAATGTCCTGCCCTCCTCATCACGTCAAACATGCAATGACTGATGTCCGAGCATTGGAGTCCAGTGTGTCTGTGGCATCATGAACATGTGTCGTGGATTTATGTTATAAATCAACCGATCGCACCATGTAGTTGTTGTTGTGTCGCCCCTACCATGTACGCATGTAGACACCTTAAACATACAGTGTGCTTAAGTGTCCTAAACACGTGTGGTTGGAGCGAATGTGACCACCGTAACTATACACACTGCTCGACTGCTCGATTTATGTTAATAAATCAATCGATTGCACCATGCAGTTGTTGTTTTGTCGCCCTTACCATGTACGCATGTAGAGCCCTTGAACCTACAGTGTGCTTAAGTGTATTAGACTTCATGAGTTGGTGGAGCTGATGTGAACACGGCAACTATACACACAGCCAGACTGAATCTCGCAGGACTTTGATGTATCATGTAAGTAACCCCGTTTTAGTTACATGATACAACATTAGTTGTGAGACTGAATTAACCAGGAAACATTGATCACCCTGGTACACAGAGGTATTGAGCTATATTTTATAAGAAAACACGCTGGCAGGGTTACGAAACCGTTGTGGTGGCAGCATGTCAAATCAGAGAGAGAAATGGCCCATGAGCAAAGGGAGTAGTAAACTCTCCCCAAAATTGATAGTTTATAAAATAACCTTTTTAAGTCACAGCGACTGTAGACACGCATATGGAAACTTTGTCTCGACCGCCCATACACCGTCACGGCGTCTTCTAGTCAGCAAAGCCGCGGCGTCTTGTAGTCAGCAATGTCACAACAATGTTACGGTAGACTATAATCAGTAAAATGACAACAATGTCACAGCAGACTTTTCAGTTAATTGTCAACAATGTCCCGGCAGACTATAATCAGTAAACTGACAACAATGTCACAGCAGACTCTACTCAGTAAACTGACAGCAATGTCACAGCAGACTTCAATCAGTTAACTGACAACAATGTCACAGCAGACTATAATCAGTTAACTGACAACAATGTCACAACAGACTCTTTTCAGTTAATTGTCAACAATGTCTCGGCAGACTATAATCAGTAAACTGACAACAATGTCACAGCAGACTCTTTTCAGTTAATTGTCAACAATGCCCCGGCAGACTACAATCAGTTAACTGACAACAATGTCACAGCAGAGTCTAATCAGTAAACTGACAACAATGTCACAGCAGACTATAATCAGTTAACTGACAACAATGTCACAGCAGACTATAATCAGTTAACTGACAACAATGTCAAAGCACACTATAATCAGTAAACTTTCAACAATGTCACAGCAGACTCTAATCAGTAAACTAACAATGTCAGAGCAGACTATAATCAGTTAACTGACAACAATGTCACAGCACACTATAATCAGTAAACTGAAAACAATGTCACAGCAGACTCTAATCAGTAAACTAACAATGTCACAGCAGCCTATTACCAGTAAACCGACAACAATGTCACAGCAGATTATAATCAGTAAACTGACAACAATGTCAAGGAAGACTACAATCAGTAAACTGACAACAATGTCACACCAGACTACAATCGTAAAGTGACAATGTCATAGCAGACTACAATCGTAAACTGATAACAATGTCACAGCAGACTCTAATCAGTAAACTGACAACAATGTCACAGCAGACTATAATCAGTTAACTGACAACAATGTCACAGCAGACTCTTTTCAGTTAATTGTCAACAATGTCATAGCAGACTATAATCAGTAAACTAACAACAATGTCACAGCAGACTCTTTTCAGTTAATTGTCAACAATGTCCCGGCAGACTACAATCAGTTAACTGACAACAATGTCACACCAGACTATAATCAGTAAACCGTCAACAATGTCACACCAGACTACAATCGTAAACTGACAATGTCACAGCAGACTATAACCAGAAAACTCACAACAATGTCATAGCAGACTAAAATCGTCAACTGACAACAATGTCACAGCAGACTCTAATCAGTAAACTGACAACAATGTCACAGCAGACTATAATCAGTTAACTGACAACAATGTCACAGAAGACTCTTTTCAGTTAATTGTCAACAATGTCACGGCAGACTATAATCAGTAAACTAACAACAATGTCACAGCAGACTCTTTCCAGTTAATTGTCAACAATGTCCCGGCAGACTACAATCAGTTAACTGACAACAATGTCACAGCAGATTATAATCAGTAAACTGACAACAATGTCAAGGAAGACTACAATCAGTAAACCGTCAACAATGTAACACCAGACTATAATCAGTAAACCGTCAACAATGTCACACCAGACTACAATCGTAAACTGACAATGTCACAGCAGACTATAATCGGAAACTCACAACAATGTCATAGCAGACTACAATCGTAAACTGACAACAATGTCACAGCAGACTATAATCAGTTAACTGACAACAATGTCACAGCAGACTCTTTTCAGTTAATTGTCAACAATGTCACAGCAGACTATAATCAGTAAACTAACAACAATGTCACAGCAGACTCTTTTCAGTTAATTGTCAACAATGTCCCGGCAGACTACAATCAGTTAACTGACAACAATGTCACAGCAGCCTCTAATCAGTAAACTGACAGCAATGTCACAGCAGACTTCAATCAGTTAACTGACAACAATGTCACAGCAGACTCTAATCAGTAAACTGACACAATGTCACATCAGACCATAATCAGTAAACTGACGACAATTTCACAGCAGACTATTATCAGTTAACTGACAACAATGTCACAGCAGACTATAATCAGTTAACTGACAACAATGTCACATCACACTATAATCAGTTAACTGACAACAATGTCACAGCAGACTTCAATCAGTAAACTAACAACAATGTCACAGCAGACTCTTTTCAGTTAATTGTCAACAATGTCCTGGCAGACTACAATTAGTTAACTGACAACAATGTCACAGCAGACTCTAATCAGTAAACTGACAGCAATGTCACAGCAGACTTCAATCAGTTAACTGACAACAATGTCACAGCAGACTCTAATCAGTAAACTGACACAATGTCACATCAGACCATAATCAGTAAACTGACGACAATTTCACAGCAGACTATAATCAGTTAACTGACAACAGTGTCACAGCAGACTATAATCAGTTAACTGACAACAATGTCACATCACACTATAATCAGTTAACTGACAACAATGTCACAGCAGACTCTAATCAGTAAACTAACAATGTCACAGCAGATTATAATCAGTTAACTGACAGCAATGTCACAGCAGACTTCAATCAGTTAACTGACAACAATGTCACAGCAGACTCTAATCAGTAAACTGACAGCAATGTCACAGCAGACTTCAATCAGTTAACTGACAACAATGTCACAGCAGACTCTAATCAGTAAACTGACACAATGTCACATCAGACCATAATCAGGAAACTGACAACAATTTCACAGCAGACTACAATCGTAAACTGACAACAATGTCACACCAGACTACAATCGTAAACTGACAATGTCACAGCAGACTATAATCAGTAAACCGACAACAATGTCACAGCAGACTCTAATCAGTAAACTGACAACAATGTCACAGCAGACTCTTATTAGTAAACTGACAATGTCACAGCAAACTATAACCAGTAAACCGACAACACTGTCACAGCAGATTATAATCAGTAAACTGACAACAATGTCACAGCAGACTCTTTCCAGTTGATTGTCAACAATGTCACGGCAGACTTTAATCAGTAAACTGACAACAATGTCACAGCAGACTCTAATTAGTAAACTGACAATGTCACAGCAGACTATAACCAGTCAACCAACAACACTGTCACAGCAGATTATAATCAGTAAACTGACAACAATGTCAAGGAAGACTACAATCAGTAAACTGTCAACAATGTCACACCAGACTACAATCGTAAACTGACAATGTCACAGCAGACATAATCAGTAAACCGTCAACAATGTCACACCAGACTACAATCGTAAACTGACAATGTCACAGCAGACATAATCAGTAAACCGTCAACAATGTCACACCAGAATACAATCGCAAACTGACAATGTCACAGCAGACTATAATCAGTAAACCGACAACAATGTCACAGCAGACTATAATCAGTAAACAGACAGCAATGTCACAGCAGACTATAATCAGTAAACTGACAGCAATGTCAAGGAAGACTACAATCAGTAAACCGTCAACAATGTCACACCAGACTACAATCGCAACCTGACAATGTCACAGCAGACTACAATCAGTAAACCGTCAACAATGTCACACCAGACTACAATCGCAAACTGACAATGTCACAGCAGACTATAATCAGTAAACTGACAACAATGTCACAGCAGACTATAATCAGTAAACAGACAACAATGTCACACCAGACTATAATCAGTAAACTGACAACAATGTCACAGCAGGCTATAATCAGTAAACAGACAACAATGTCACAGCAGACTACAATCAGTTATCTGACAGCAATGTCACAGCAAACTATAATCAGTAAACAGACAACAATGTCACAGCAGACTACAATCAGTTATCTGACAGCAATGTCACAGCAGACTATAATCAATAAACCGACAACAATGTCACAGCAGACTCTTTCCAGTTGATTGTCAACAATGTCACGGCAGACTTTAATCAGTAAACTGACAACAATGTCACAGCAGACTCTAATTAGTAAACTGACAATGTCACAGCAGACTATAACCAGTCAACCAACAACACTGTCACAGCAGATTATAATCAGTAAACAGACAACAATGTCACAGCAGACTACAATCAGTTATCTGACAGCAATGTCACAGCAGACTATAATCAATAAACCAACAACAATGTCACAGCAGACTCTTTCCAGTTGATTGTCAACAATGTCACGGCAGACTTTAATCAGTAAACTGACAACAATGTCACAGCAGACTCTAATTAGTAAACTGACACAATGTCACATCAGACCATAATCAGTAAA